GTGATGTGATGTGATGTGATGTGATGTGATGTGATGTGATGTGATGTAGTGTAATGTAGTGTAGTGTAATGTAATGTAGTGTAGTGTAGTGTAATGTAATGTAATGTAAGTAAGTAAGTATGTATGTATTTATGGTAATGTAATGTAATGTATTGTATTGTATTGAAGTGTATTGTAGTGTATTGGATTGTAATGTCTTGGAATGGAATGCAATGTAATGTAATGTACAAAAATATACCTATTACATTTATACATGATTTTATACATAGATATTATACATGGACATTACACATATTTATTTATATCCCTACATACATATGATATAATATATATATATAATATAGCATAATATGTGTGTATATATATGTATATGATATGTGTTAACTATATAATATTATATATATATATATTACATAATCCCTCAAGCTCTTGTTTCTCTCTGCCGCCCCAACCACGATCAATCGGGATTACGAAATCACTATATATATATGTGTACTATAATATATAGTAGTAATGCCATATCTGTATAATATATGTTTGATATATCGATAGACAACATTATGTAACTAACACCCATCTTGAACCAAGTGACGAGTGCCCACCTTCATCATGAACGCAACTGTTTCCACCTGTTGCCTTCGTCGAAGATCAAGCCAGGTGGGGCAGCCTTTATCATAGCAGTCGAGGCCCCAAACCGAGAGGCGGGCATTGTCATCACCTTCGCTTTGTTGAATAAGCAAATTCCAGTCCTGAAAACAAGGAAATGCGTGAAAACTTTGGAAAGACGTGTTGAGGACTGCAATTTCAATCCATCTCCCTTCTTCAAAGCTGCCTTTCCAGTCAGTCATACTGGATAACGTATTTTTCTGAAAGCCCATGTCCTTCTGGTTAAAAGGCCGTAGCTCGAAAATGCATCCCATAATTTCAGCGATCAACACCATATCTTTGCCCCACTGCCCAATGCCTGTAACGTTCTGGTGGACGTGTCCTCGAGATCCAAAGAGTTGTTCCAAATCCGCAGCCCCAACACGACGGCACACGAAGACGCGATTTGGAAGGACCTTGATGACTTCATATTGGCAGCTGAGTCGAAACTTCGCCATGGTTTCTTTGTCTCCATAGTAAAAGTCTAGCATACAGAAGATCAACGTGCCAGCGAGCCCAATGATATTCAGCGGCACCGCCTGCGGGACCCAGCTGATGGCGCGCCAGATCACAAAGGCGATCCAGGCCAGTCGAGGGATGAGCAGCCAAAAGCGGAGTTCCTTGTAACGCTCGGGACTATTCAAGATCATCCCCGCCCGTTGCATGATCCAGGTCAAAACCACCGCCGCACCCACTGAGAGCTCGTCACAGGTCAAGGCACAGAAGAAGGAGGCCGGTACCAGTGCGACCAGTGGAGACCAACGACCTGCTGCTAGGTCCGCGTCCACCGCGGAGAAGTTCAAAATCTCCCGGATCACCCCGGTGTCGTCCGCGCTGGCGTCGATGTTCTTGTGGTGCCGATAGGATTCATGATACATCCAAGTACGGTAGAGCAATGGCACGGGTTTGAAAAGGTATCCTCAGTTCGTCCTTTCATCTCGTCCACCGTGGTGCGTTGTTCCAAACTGCCCACCGTGGGGAAGAATCACGGGGTACCCCGGGACCACTCCCACATGAACAATTACAATTCTAATTAAATTCTTATTGTTACTACTAGTAAGGCACTTGTTACTAATAGCTTCTTGTTACTGCTAGAAAGGCACTTGCTACTAGAAGCGATGAATCTCGTCTTGAGGTGCGTGAACAAACTGCCCACCGTGCTGGGGAAGAATCACGGTGTACCCCGGGACCACTCCCACATGAACAACTGAATCAAACGTTCTGCTGGGCGCAGGAGAAACAGTGACTGGCAACGCGGGGGGTTTTCGGTTGTCAATCCCCTGCCTGATGCACGATCAATCCCCTCCCAAAAAGAGAGATCACACAGGCAAAAAGATCCCAACCACCAGAGGCGGACCATCCAAATCTAGAACCCCCGTCAATAGCAATAGCTGACCCCATCGGGTGCCAACCCATGCCACCGGGTCTCGATCCTTCTTTAACTTCTCGATGGATCCCTCCACCGTGGGGCGTGTCCACAGATCCACAGCGTGGAAGTCAAAGCGGTTGTGACCGTCCTCAGAGGCGATCGACGGCCGATCGGCTCGCCGGCGTTCGAAGGGGGTCAAATGAAGCAAACATCACTCAGCTGACGCTGACGCTCTGACGACGTCTGACGGTGAGAAGGGAGGCAAGGCTGAGTCAAGACTAGTCAAGACCCATCTATCTATCTATCTATCTATCTATCTATCTGTCTCTCTCTCTCTCTCTCTCTCTCTGTTTGGCCGGTGCCCATCCTTAATCCCCGGTCACCCGGTCACCGACCACGACACGAGCCACCGGCAGCTATCGGTTTGGCTGACCACCTGGAAGAAAAATCCCGAGTAAAAACTGGTGGAGTCGGCGCACTAAAATCGGATGGTCTGCCGAGTCCACCACACCCCTTGTTCTTCAGGGATGAAGATGCAGACCACTTACGAGTCCCCATCCACCATATGCCTTCTGTCTCGGATGCTTTTAGTCGGATGGTCGGGAATTCTTGTAATCCCGACTAAAGGCATCGGTCGCTGGGGGAACCGCCGAAGCTCGCATGTCTCCCGAGGGCACTGGCCTCACCTGGCTTGTGGGCCGATAGAACTCCAAAAAGAACCAAGCATGTTTTTTGAGTCTGTCCTATTACCATTAACAGTGGATGATGATGATGATGATGATGATGATGATGATGGTGATGGTGATGGTGATGGTGGTGATGGTGGTGATGGTGGTGATGGTGGTGATGGTGGTGATGGTGGTGATGGTGGTGATGGTGGTGGTGGTGCTGCTGCTGCTGATGATGATGATGATGGTGATGGTGGTGATGGTGGTGATGGTGGTGATGGTGGTGATGGTGGTGGTGGTGGTGATGATGATGATGATGGTGATGGTGGTGATGGTGGTGATGGTGGTGATGGTGGTGATGGTGGTGGTGATGATGATGATGATGGTGGTGGTGGTGATGGTGGTGATGGTGGTGATGGTGATGGTGGTGATGGTGGTGATGGTGGTGATGGTGGTGATGGTGGTGGTGGTGCTGATGATGATGATGATGATGATGATGATGGTTGCTAAAGGCCTTTCTTCAAAATTGTGATAACTGTTCTGACTGTTACAGGTAATAGGACGGACCCAGCATGTTTTGGCGAAAAAATACCATGGCTGGAGAGTGCGCCTTTCTCCCTACTTTAAGGGCCTCTTTTCGCCACTTCCAAGGGCGAAAGAGAAGCTGGGACTTATTATTTTTGCGCGATCCTTGCTTGGTTTTCACTGGCAGTTGAGCGGTGTAACCCACAATGAATGCACAGAAGTAGGTCTATAGCCGCTCTCTTCACTGCTGTTAGCTCGGCGTTTGTTCTGCACCCCAAAAAATCAACATCATCTGTCATTATGTCACACCATGTCAGACCCGTCATGCGTGGTCTTCCGCCAGCCGAGGTTCATAGACCAGTTTCACCTTGGCAGACATCGGATCTCGAAAGACCTTTCCAATGAACGAGGGCCCGTGGGGCCCCATCAGCGCTGGATCCGCGTCGCCCCAGGCCGCCAGGTCGGCCGTCGAGACCGCGGCGCCTTCGGAGAACGGTGGAGCGTGGAGCGCGGAGTTCGGTGAACCGAATGAAGAGTTCAGGGATGTGAAAGGAGTCCCAGCCAGCTTGGGTGGGCTGGGTTTCACGCCCGTCGTGGAGGGGAGGATGCAATAAAATGCAGGCTTGGCTGTGACTCCCAGCTAGAAACCAATAGGTTCATCTGAATCATTACTCCGACTCCCTGAGCGGAAAAAAGAAACTAGATACAACAACTGATAACTAGTATTAATGAGCAAAGTAATGCCAGCTGTCTTGCCCATGTCAAACAGTTTGTAGGTTGTTTACTATCATGGGGCGATGGCTTGAAACGATCGACTTTTCAAGCATCTGCAGGGCATATCATGCAGCTCGTGTCCCCCATGATAATCATTCTGTCGACTCGGACGAATACATTCAAAGCTGGGCAAGAATATATAGACCCACAAATAGATAGAAAAGTAGATCTCCACTTAAAATGTATTAAACCGTTTCTATCTATTTGTGGACTAATATACCAAAAAAACATCAACACAATACCAACTCGATTCATTCAACCCAAACGAACCAACGAACCATATAACCCTGCCACCCTGACACAAAGATATTCAGAAACAGCCCTGGTCGCATTCTGATAAAGCACAGACAAGGAGATACAACAAGATGGCATCCTCTTGACTTCTTGCTGACCAAATCAACTGGAAAGGCTGGCTGCACCAGTCACTTCCAAAATAAGAAACCAAAAAAGAAGAGAGGGTAGATTCCGGGTAGATCGGGGAACGATGAAAATAACAACAGATCTCACATCTCAGTGCAAGAACTCTTCCTTCAGAGACCTCCACAGACATGGTCAAGCAGCGGTATTTACGGCCCATCGCACCGTTCGTCTGCGGACCAAATGATCAAGTTCTCCAAAACATAACATAAAGGTGTTATTTGAAAAAGATTTGTCAAAGTTTACATGTCAAAATGAGTAGTCCCCTGTGTCAAAACAAATTTCCTGGAAGCCATGTTCAGCCCCCCATCAAACAAATGGAGCAGGGGTGGCATATGAAATAATTTGTTTCCACCACTGAGGGTCCCAGGCCCAATCTCTGGCGCATATCGGTTTTCCATTGTCCATGTTTTTGGTTTTCGAACATCCGGCGCGCATGTGTGGAGGAGGACTCCACACCTCCTGTCCGCATCATGGGATTCTTCCGAATGAACGTCACCCAGAAATTGCGTTCCACATTGTTTTCGTCTTCCAGGTCATCATCGCCAGCTGCATCGTGTCGATTTCCTGGACAAATGCACCCTAAACAAACCACGCCAGTCCATTCCCATCTACTCCTCCAACTTCGTGCGGCCACACCCAGAAAAGAAAAAAAAACAATGCCTTGCTCCCAAATCTGGTGTTGGTTTGTGGTGTGCGTGAGTGTTCGGGTTACGGGGTTACTTTTAACAAAAGCGCACTGTAAAATGGCAGCGCGGTAAAGTGCCAAGGACATAAATCCACCTCGAAAAACCGTAAGATACCGAGATCACCGGGTCTATCGCCACAAAAGGTGGCTTCATACATTTCTGTTAATGTATGCTGATATGGGGGAGGCAGGTGTTGAAAATGTATTTTTGAACAGGGGGTTTAACATAGAGAAATGGGTATGTTTCATGCTTCAATACAATATATACATGTTTTGTTCCCTCGGTGTTTCTGGAGACACCGTCTTAGGGATATGTATGAAAGGCAGGGGTTGTGGAGTCCGGCAGTCCAGCGTGGGCTTCAACAAACCAAGCGTCGCATCTTCTCAATCTCAAAGCTCGTGGGTTTGTACAACGCCGGGCGCCGACCATCCTTCAGCACCGCGGCGGCGGGCTCGGAGTCCTCCTCCTCCTCCGCCGCATGCGCCGGCTCCTGCGGCAGCGGTGGCGGCGCCGGCTGCGGCGGCGCCGGCGTTCGCTGCACTCCGTGCGCCATGGGCGGCGCTTCGGTGGGGCGATCGGAGCTGTGGCTGACAGGAAGCTGAAGTCTCTTTTGGGTGCCAAGCACAGGTTTTCTGATCAGCCCAAGATTCAAACTGAGCCAATAGTCCGATGCACAAAGATTGAAAACTGCTTGACTGACCGCTGATGCCATAGGCTTGCCCTGCGAACTGCATGTAGTTCTTTCAGCAATCCACGGACTGCTTTCAAGGTGAAAACCTTGCTCAGGGAAAAGGAGTTAGACCAGGAAAGAAGAAATAGCAACAACTCCCGAAGGCCAGAGAGCCGCTGGTGAGCACCAGCTCCATGTGGAATTTCTTCATCCTTTTTTCAGGCTCTCAAAATCTGCGCTGCGGCTGAACGCTGTGGCCCAGTTGGCTACACACTCACCGGCGGTCTTCGCCACTCTTTCGGCGAACCGCGGCCACTCCCCTCGGCGGACCGGGATCGGAACGACCCCGATCGACTGCAACATCGACACCAAGCGTCCATGTGGTCCAAACAGCAGATTTAATAGCCCAAAGACCCAAAGATGATTCTCCTGGTGACGAAAAAAGTAAAAATTAAAAAAATGAACTCTCTTCCAAATCCAAATGGACTTAGTACGGCTGGTTGCCACATGCGCCATGGCCGATTCGAGGGTTTCTTCATCAGAACTTAATCCTAATTTTGGATGATCACAGTCACAGCCTGCAACAATGCGCATGCGTCTCTCAACCTGGGTGTTTCAGAAATGCTTCGAAACCAAGAACCTTGACCGTTCTGGACCATTCTGCTAGAACTCGTTTGAAACACCCATCTGATCGGCTGTACACGGATGCGCTCAGAGTCACCAACAAGTTTTCGGCGACTCCTTAGCAACCAAACAAAACATCCATGATATACATATATAAGTGATACGGGCCAACCAATGGGTGGCAGCCTGGTCTATCTTCCCTCCCAGACAAACAACACCACAACTCGTGCCCCTCCTACTGCTCTAGTATTGATCCGCAGTCATGTCTTGGCGGGAAAATGAACTGCTCGTGAAGAAAGACCTACAGAGTCGCAACTGTGCGCGCACTTTTGGCCAGCCAAAACCAAACACCAATACATATTATATATATATAGTATGTAAATTATATGGGAGTTGATCTAAATTCCTTTATCCGGGATCCGTCATTTTCGCCAAAAAAATTACTTTCGCCAAACTTTCGCCTTCCTGCGTTTTATCTTTCGCCGAAGTACGTTGTATTTATGTGTGCCATGTATGTTGTGTTTTGTTCACGTCAATGGCTTCTTCTTTGCTGGCAAACACAAAATAGAAACTTCACTGTTTGTCAGCATGTGTCTTCTACTTAACTGTTGACACCCTGTACGTCTCTTTTGTTTCTCCTGGGTGTCAGCAAGAATCAAAATTGCAAGAATCACTGTAGTAGCCGGTCACTCAAACTTACTCATAATGGGCTGGGGGTCAGATGTGGCAGGGTGAACTTTCGCCAATCTTGAGCTGAACTTTCGCCAACCTTTCGCCTTTTGCGGGGTAGAGTTTTGTGGAAAAGCCACCCCCCAAAGCAGGAGCAGGAATAGTAGTAGTAGTAGTAGTAGTAGTAGTACTAGGAGTAGTAGTAGTAGTAGTGGTAGTGGTAGTGGTAGTGGTAGTGGTAGTGGTAGTGGTAGT